AAGGAGGGAGATTTAGAACAGGCGACCGCACGGCAGGCGCCATGCGAGCGCGCACGAGTAACTGCAGGCAACGCCGCCGCCACAGCTGTTTTTCCTTGTCACGTAATCACTGTTTACCAAACTGTTTGTTTGGGCTTTTTGGTTCGTAATAAAATATTTACCCGCTCTCAGCTGTAATAAGGAGACATTGACGGGATGCTATAGAGGTTTGAGAGGACGATTGATCTGTTTATCTTATTTTACTTTTTTCCGGGAAGCGAGCGCGGCATCCGAGTTCTATTTCGGTGGGCGGGTCAAGGTTCGCGGAACCGGGCTCCGTGACAGAGTCTGTTCCCCGGTTTACTGGGTGGGAGCCGGTGAGGGGCAAACATCAGTGTTTTGTTAGCCCGCTGCTGGGTCGGGATGCTGGCAGACAGCGTCCTTTAAATTTTATTTATTGATTGACTGAATTGAGAGAGAAACGGTGACTGGCCGTTGCACTAATTGATCGTTCACCGGCTGCTTGTCTGTGCCCTGACTGTGGAGCCAGCGGGAGAGGGGGAGTCGGTGGGGGGGGGTCCCTGGCGCTGAGGCCCCAGCTCTGTGGGACGTGGTGTCTGGGGTCTCAGGACCCCATCGGTCCGAGCACCTGCCATCCAGGCGCTCAGAGGCCCCGTCAGCGCCGCCCAGCGTGGCCCGCGGGCTTTGCGGCCACCCTGAGGACACACCCCGAAGCCAGGCCAGCGGAACCAAGAGCTGGACGGGCCCTGGAACCTGGGCCGGATCCCGGTCCCGGCCTCCTCGCAGCCTCGCTCCCCACTCGGAGGAGAGACACAGAGGCCAGGGGCAGGGGCAGGGGCAGGGAGCTGGGCCGGGCGCCCCGGGCGGCGGGGAGCGGGCAGGGACCGCGCGTTTATCACCCGCCGGCGCGGAGATTGACGGCAGCGGCTGCGCCCACACTGAGGCCCACACTGAGCCATTAGCTCGTAATGGCCCGAAGGCTCCAGGCCCGGCCGCGCGGCTGCAGCCCGGCCAGACTAATGACTGCGGGTCCCGGAATCCATCAGCACCGCTGGGGGCTCCGGCCGCCCGCGCTCCCAGCTCCATCTCAGGATGTCCCCCGTGCTTGGCGCCGGGCCAGGGTCCGTGGTGGCCGTGCGGCCCCGGGATTCCTCTGAGTCGTGTTCACAGGAAGGGGGGGGGGGCGGGTTCTGCAACTCGGATCCTGGCGGTAAGTCCCACACACGCAGTTGGAGCCGAATTACTGTTTGGTTGGGACTGAATTTCCCGCTTCCTGTCCTGAACTAGAGATGCTCTGTCCCAAAGTGCTTCACAGGGCCCCCCAAAATGAGAGAGAGAGAGAGAGAGAGAGAGCGAGCAAGAGAGAGAGAGAGGAGGCCCCAGAGTCCAGGGCCTCACCGCCTCCTCCAGGAAGCCCTCCCGGCTTCTCTGGGCACCGGTCTGAGCCACCCACACCCTGTCACCGCTCTCTCTGGACTACCAATCCCACCAGCCCCCCCTCACCTACCGCCTGCGCCCCAGTCCCACTGCCAGGCCCGTGGAGGCGGGGTCTGACGAGGACTTGCTCACCACCCCCTCCCCCTGCAGCAGGGGCACACAGCTGGGCGCCGGGAGCTTCTGGCGATGGAAGGCTGACCACTGGGCACATCCGCAGCCCAGGATGGGGGCGGGGGGCGGGGGCAGGGAGCGGGGGCTGGGGGCCGGGGCAGGAGGCTCCCTGTGTCGAGGACCATCCCCCCCCCCACCCCCCAGGCTGCGGGTGCGGCAGGCGGGCCGCTCCTGCTGATGGAAACCAGGTCAGGGGAGGCGGCGGGCGGCGTTTCCGGGGGTGCGGTTCCTCCGGGAAGGCCTCCGCGAAAGCCTCACACCGAGCGGGAGAGACGCGGGGGAGCCGAGCCGCGCTCCCCGGCGGCCCCGCAGCTGCCAAAATTACCGCAAACTGACCTACAAAGAGCGTTTCTATTTTCCGCGCAAACCCCACAGGTTACCGCGGAGCCGCCGGCGGGGCGGCACGCAGGAGCGGAAGCGGCCCCAGCAGCGCCCCCACGGAGCCGGCACCCCGGTTTCCTGGAGGAACGTGTCCCCGAAACCCCGAGGAGAGGGGAGGGTGGGGGGAGGTCCCGGCACCCGGGCAGAGGGGGAATCTGGGCGCTCAGAGGCGGGGCAGGTGCGGAAGCTCCCGGTGCCCCATGGGCAGGGCCCCATGGAGGCGGTGTGCGTGGCGCCCCCTGCAGTTGTGCAGCCCACAACCTGCCCAAGCGCACCCCACACGCCCCAGCCCCCAGGGCTCCCTGCCTCTCAAACAGCACTGGTTCCAGAGGCGTGCGCTGTGTGTGGCTGCACAGGGGCCTCGGTGAAGGGCCCTGAACTAGCTCTCATCGCTTCAACTCGGACGTTTTTATTTTCTTTCTTTTTTTTCTTTTCTTTTTTTTAAATGTATTTTCTGCCGAAACCGGTTTGGCTCAATGGATAGAGCGTCGGTCTGGGGACTGAGAGGTCCAGGGTTCGATTCCGGTCAAGGGCATGTACCTTGGTTGCGGGCACATCCCCAGTAGGGAGTGTGCAAGAGGCAGCTGATCGATGACTCTCTCTCATCGATGTTTCTAGCTCTCTATCTCTCTCCCTTCCTTTCTGTACAAAATCAATAAAAATATATTTTTTTAAAAATGTATTTTCTTATTGATTTCAGAGAGGAAGATAGAAGCATCCCTGAGGAGAGAGAATCATGGGTGGGCTGCCTCCTGCACGCCCCCCACTGCGGATGGAGCCCGAAACCCGGGCCTGTGCCCTGACCGGGAATCGAACTGTGACCTGGGTCACAGGTCTGCCTTCCAGCCCCACGCCAGGCAGCGGGCGGAGTCTCATTTTCCAGCCCAGGCCCTGGATTTCCATTCCGCACCAACGCTGAGCAGAGCGGGTTCTCCCTCTGTGTCTGAGAGCTCCCGGGCCACAGAGAAGAAGGATGAGCAGCCCATCACTGAGCGCCCTAATCCCGAGATCAGAGGCCGCCGACACGCCTCCCCCGCTCCCGCCCACCGCGAAGCCCGGCCCCTCAGGGCGCGGGAAGGGGCTGAGGGTCCGGGAACCACCGAGCCCAGCACCACGGACGCCCTGGGATGGCCCACTGCCACCCGCAGGCCACAACTCCCCGAGGACACAGAGGGCAGCGTTCCTGATTAGGTCCCGAGGCCAGTCCCTGCTCCCCCCCCCCACCCCTCCATGGGTTCCCCAGGTGCCCACAGAGCCCCGAGCAAGGACCCCGGGGCCCACCCAGGTCACAGCACGTTCATCCTTTAAGGAACGTCCTCAGGCCCGTGCCCAGCCTCTCCGGCAGAGGCTGATCGGAGACAGGTCCACAGGCGGAGGACCTGTCTTCCCCCGCAAATCTCCCCCCCGGGGTCCGAGCCCCCCCAGTGCCCTGGGAGGGCTGCACACGCCTCGCACATACATGTTCAACACACCAGGGCCAACTCCTCCTCCAGCCACCAGGGGGCCTGCCTCTGCCCAGCACCCACGAGCCTCTGCTCCAAGGCCGGGGAGCTTTGCGGCAGCATCTGGGGGGCCGGGGCCAGCGGGGGCTGATGGGAGGTGGGGACGGGGGCTGGGCGGAGCCAGGCCACGCGGGCAGGAGGCCAGCAAGACAGAGCTGTGTGCTGTCCCAAGCGTGTGGTGTGGCTGCAGGGGGAGGGGAGGGGTGTCTGAAAGCTAGGGGGGCCCAGGGGGGCCTCTGTCTCCATGTGTGGGGGGGGATTCCAAGGTGACCCCAGCGCTGAGATTTCCAGAGGCTTCGCCCGTCCACGAGCTCCACACCACGGCCGGCCGGCTGCTGCCGGAGCGGGTGCCGGGGACCCGTTTCCAAGGCGACGTGTCTGTGTCCCCGAGTCGTTGTGACCCGGCCGGAGGCTGCAGGCCACGGAGGGGCCCCCGCCATAAACAGAACGCTTAGTGTCCGCCGGGAGGGCGCGGCAGCCGGCCGCGGGGGCAGCTCAGGCCCCGCAGGGTTTACGAGAGCCGCCCCGCTGACGGCCACGCCGCCCGCCCGGCCCCTGGTGCCACCAGCGCCCGGAGGCCACGTGGGGCCCGGCCACTTAGCGGGGGAAGCTGTCCACGGGGACCCGGGCCCAAGAGCTGCTCTGAAAACACAGAGCCTCCCTCTGCCCCCCGCCGGGCTCCGGGCCTGGCTTTCCTCCATTCACACCTCCCGCCGGCAGCTGCCACCTTCCCAGCCTCCAGGGCCCACGGGGCACAGGGCACAAGCCAGATATAGCCTCTCCCCCCTCCTCGCTGTCCCCAGCCCCCACCGTCTCCTGCCCTCCCCTCCGGGCCAGGCCAGGCGGCCTCTGTCCTCCCCCACCCCCCTCAGCCCTGCCTCCCGGCTGTCAGCCCTGCCTCCCACAGCCACGTCCAGCCACACCTGCTCCAGAACCATCCATGGCTCCCGGTGCCTCAGCCCGAGGCTGCACACACAGGAGCCCACAGGGACCAGCCCTCTCCCCAGAGCCAACCGTGAACACAGGAACTTCAGGCCCCCGACCCCAGCATGCAGCCGAGCGGCCCCCTTACCGACCACGTGGTCCCCTTACCGACCATGTGGTCCCCTTACCGACCATGTGGTCCCCTTACCGATCACGTGGTCCCCTTACCGACCATGTGGTCCCCCTTACCGATCACGTGGTCCCCCTTACCAATCATGTGGTCCCCCTTACTGATCACGTGGTTCCCCTTACCGATCATGTGGTCCCCCTTACCGATCACGTGGTCCCCCTTACCGATCACGTGGTCCCCCTTACTGATCACGCTACCGATCACGTGCCCCCCTACTGATCACGTGGTTCCCCTTATCGATCACGTGGCCCCCCTTACCGATCACGTGGTTCCCCTTACTGATCACGCTACCAATCACGTGGTCCCCCTTACCGATATGTGGCCCCCCTTACCGATCACGTGGTTCCCCTTACCGATCACGTGGTTCCCCTTACCGATCACGTGGTTCCCCTTACCTATCATGTGGTTGGCTACGTGGATCTGGATCTCACGCTCGCTCTCGAAGGTCATCTGGCACTTGATGCACTGGTAGGTCTTTTTCTGTTTGGAAAGTGAAACAGGGAGGTGTTAGCCGGAGGAAGGAGAGAGTAGAGGCAGGAGGTCCTGCAGCCCCACTCGGGGATCCCCCCCCGCCCACTCGGTCACCGTGGGCAGTGTCCCTCCCGCCTGCTTCCGGACCAGCTCGCCAGCCGGGGCACGGGGGTCAGGCTGCCTTCCAGAGCAGCTGCCCCTCCCACACACAGTTCACAGCGGAGTCCACCCACCCGCCTCCACCCACCCACCCACCCCTCCTCCACCCACTCACCTCACCCCACTCACAGTGACACACCCACACCCCAACGACAACCAGCTCCCCATCACAGGTGCAGCACCCCGAGGAGTGACGGCCACAGTCCACGCAGGCCGCCGGCCAGGCTGGTCCCTAACGCAGCCTCGGCATCCCCCCCAGACCCTCGTCGCCACACCCGCCGTGTCCATGTCCCGACACGCACCTGCAGCCTCCGACGCCGTGTGCACAGCCCCCCCAGGTACGCACCCCCGCGACCATTCCCGCAGACGCTGTGCCCACCTGTGCCCTCACACACAGGCGGGCACACACTCACACAGGCAAGCACACACTCACACAGGCAAGCACACACTCACGCAGGCACACGCTCACACACGCAGGCACATGCTCACACAGGCAAGCACACACTCACACGCAGGCACACACTCACACAGGCACACACACACGCAGGCACACACTCACACATGCGGGCACACACTCACACAGGCAGGCATACACTCACACACGCAGGCACACACTCACACAGGCAGGTACACACACAGGCAGGCACACACTCACACACGCAGGCACACACTCACACAGGCGGGCACACACTCACACACGCAGGCACACACTCACACAGGCGGGCACACACTCACACACGCAGGCACACACTCACACAGGCGGGCACACACTCACACACGCAGGCACACACTCACACAGGCATACACACGCAGGCACACACTCACACATGCGGGCACACACTCACACAGGCAGGCACACACTCACACACGCAGGCACACACTCACAAAGGCTCACCACACACACCCGCGAAGGTGCACGTGGCCCAGCAGCCTGGCACAGAGACGGCCCCGAGGCCTCGCCTGCCAGGCAGGGGCACCCATGCCCAGAGCGGAGGGCACCCACCGGCAGGGCTGTCGGTCCCCAGGCTGGTGGGACGAGCACTGGGAGAAGCAGTGAGGCCTCTCTCTCTCTCTCTCTCTCTCTCTCTCTCTCTCTCTCTCTCTCCCCGATTTCCCGCTGCACCCTGGGCCGCCGCCCCCTCCTCGCCCAACACCTCCTCTCTGTGTGTCTCCCCTTCTCCGTCCCCGAGAGACGCCCTCTCCCGCTGGAGCCCTGGCCCCGCCAGGCGACAGGCACACACAGAACCCGGCATTCGGAGCAGCTGCCTTCCCTCCCCGCTGCCCAGGGGAGGGCAGGGCCCCGGAGAAGCAGCGCTGAGCCCAGGCCTGAGGCCAGGGCTGCCTCCCGGCCTGGCCCCGCGCAGCCGCAGCCGCAGCCAGAGGCCCGGGCCGAAGGAGGACACCCCAGGCCCGCGGTCGGCAAACTCATCCGTCCACAGAGCCAAACACCAACAGCACAACAATGGACATTTCTTCGGAGAGCCACATTGTTCAAACATAAACTCCTTCTCACGCCACTTCTTCCACACAGACTCGCCCAGGCCGTGGTGTTTGTGGAAGAGCCACACTGCAGGGGCCAAAGAGCCACATGTGGCTCCCGAGCCGCCGTTTGCCGATCACGGGGCTGGAGGAGCGGACACGGGGTCAGCAGGGCAGGAGGGGAAGAACACAGAGCTGCTGGGCTTCCGGGAGGGCGACCACGGCTCATGAGCAGGCACTCTTTATCGGAACGCTCACCGTCCCTCACCACCTACTGTGTGCAGGCTGCTCATCACCTACTGTGTGCAGGCACTGTTTACTCGGAACACTCACCGTCCCTCATCACCTACTGTGTGCAGGTACTCTTTACTAGGAATGCTCACCGTCTCTCACCACCTTCTGTATGCAGGCTGCTCCCCATTTACTGTGTGCAGGCACTGTTTACTCAGAACGCTCACCATCGCTCACCACCTACTGTGTGCAGGCTGCTCACCACCTACTGTGTGCAGGCTGCTCATCACCTACTGTGTGCAGGCACTGTTTACTCGGAACGCTCACCATCGCTCACCACCTACTGTGTGCAGGCTGCTCACCACCTACTGTGTGCAGGCACTGTTTACTCGGAACGCTCACCATCGCTCACCACCTACTGTGTGCAGGCTGCTCACCACCTACTGTGTGCAGGCACTGTTTACTCGGAGTGCTCACCATGGCTGCAGGGATGAGAAAATGGAGTTTCAAGAGGCTCAGCCACTCGGCCACAGCCCCCGCAGGGATTCAGGCTCGGCAGGCTCCCGCCGGAGCCCGCATCTCGCTATTGTTCGGGGCTCCCAGCCCCAGACCCCGAGCAAGGCTCTGGTCAGGTGACGGAAGCCGGTGGGACTGGGCGAGGCCTCTCTGGACGCCTTTCCCGCTCAGGGAGGGCTGGGAGAGCACCCGTCGCCCCCGCGGCACCGGGGCCGGGGATGGGGGACGCTGTTATTACCCACACACTGGGGCGGCGGGAACCTCGATGCTTCACGCTCCAGCCAACAGCAGCCTCGGCCCCACGGGAACCCGGTCCTCCGAGAGCCGGTTGCTATGGATACGCTCCCGAGGGTCCCAGCCTGCCAGCCCCTGAGCCCCTCGCCGCCCCCAGAGTCTGCTCCTGCCGGCCTGAGTCCCGGGGGAGGGGGGCGGCGGGCGGGTGGGCGGGCAGACAGCTGGGCCCCTGCCCCCGGGCGTGCCCAGGCAGGGGGCCAGGCCCTGGAGGCGGCGCCCTCCGCGGGGAGGTGCGGGCTTTGTCTCGCTCCGTCTGCACACGGCCCTCTGCCCGGGCCTCGCTGGGGCCGCCGCTCCCCTCCTCCCCGCAGGCCCGGCCGCCGCTGAGGCCCCTCGGTCTGACCCGGCGCCGCCCGCGCAGCTGTGCATCCTGGGGTCCGCGGCGCCCCTTTCTGAGCCCGGATCCTCTCTCTGCCAAGACAGAGGTCACAGCAAGGCTCCCGGGTGGTTGCCATGGAAACGACAGAAGAGCCGATGCCGACACAGTGGGGGCTTCGGGAAGCAGGACTTGAGGTGCAGGACGGAGACGGGGAAGGAGGTGGCGCCAGCAGCCCCCGCGCCAGGGCGGGCAGCGCCAGAGCGGGCAGCGCCAGAGACAGGGATGGGCCGGTGCACCCGGGAGGGGCAGAGCAGGGCCCCGCGAGCATGGGGGTAACCGACCACCCAGCCCCGCCCACGCCCGTCTCGCCCGTCTCAGTACCAGGCTGGGCTCAGGCTGGGCCCAGCCAGGCCGTGGCACCGCCATCAGCTGGCTCATGCCCGTCTCTGCCTCTCGAGAGCAGGGCATCCTCATCCCGCGGTCAGCAAACCGCGGCTCTCGAGCCACATGCGGCTCTGTGGTCCCTGGAGTGTGGCTCTTCCACAAAATGCCACGGCCCGGGCGAGTCTGTGTTGAAGAAGTGGCGTTAGAAGACGTTTATGTTTAAAAACTGTGGCTCTCCAAAGAAATGTCCATCGTTGTGCTGTTGGTAGTTGACTCTGTGGACGGGCGTGGGGATGACACACGGGAGAAGGACAGGGAGGGCAGCCCGCTATGCGCCCTCCATCCTCGGCGAGAAGTACAGCCTGGGAGTGAGTCACAGCAGCCAGCCCCTGCCCATCGGAGCGGAGGCACACCCAGAGCTGGGGGGCGGGGGGAGAAGGGGGGCCCTCCCTGGCCCCCATGTCCGCGTTGGGGGAGGATGCTGCCACTCTGACGCTATTGTTCCTATCACCCGGTGGCCTGACCGCGAGGACAGAGGCCCAGAGCCGTCAGTCACGGGCGGGGCCTCAGTCCGTGTGGCTCAGTGGACAGAGCATCAGCCTGCAGACTGAAGGGCCCGATACTGGTCAAGGGCACAAACCCTGGTTGTAGGCTCGATCCCCAATTGGGTACATGCAAGAGGCAACCAGTTCATGTGTCTCTCTCACATCGATGCTTCTCTCTTTCTTTCTGTCCCCCTCCCTTCCGCCCTCTAAAAATCAATGGGAAAATATCAGCAGATGAGGATTAACCCCAAAAAGAGTCACAGGTGAGACCAGGAGAGGACACTTTAACCCACCCCCCCGACTTCAGGCCCAGATGCTCCCAGGTCCTCTCCCACTCGGCCGGCCAGCAGGCTGAGGCCGAGGACAGAACTGGGCAGCAGTGACCGGGAAGGGCCACGATCAGGGCCTAGCTTGGGGGGGCTGGACCAGGGACCCCCCCAAAGCGCCTCCCCCTGCAGAGTCTGCCTTCACTCCCTCCAGCCCCCTCGTTCCCTCACCAGCTCTCCCCCTCAAATGCCCGGGCCCAGATCCCTGTTCTGAACACACAGCAAACACCCCTGTCTCCCACGGGCTCCTGAGGCAGGGGGCTGCCCCCAAACCCCTCCTCCCTGCCCGCGGCGCCCACAGCGGCCCTACAGGGGGGGAGACGCGTCTGGGGTGTGCATGGAACCGCCTCGATCTGGGAACAGGACTGCCTGAGCCTGTGGGGATCCCCCACCCGTCCTGTCTGACACGGAGGACCCCGGCGGCTCCAGGCCCGCCCTCAGGTGCCCCCGGCCGCAGTCCCCAGAGCCCGGGGGGACCCTCCTGGAGCCCAGACGCCGCTGCCTTGTAACCACTGGCAAGGGGCCTGCGACACCCCTGGGACCTCCATGGCAGGTCCGTTTCCGACTCCGTGGCTGATAGGCCACCCAAACATACTGGATATTCACGACAAATTTGATGAATGAATGACTCAATCAATCAATGGATCGTTATTGAAAACAGCAAGCGGGACCATTTCTAGGGTGTTCCTGTACCGGCAACTGCACTAACTGTCCTGCAGCTACTGCTGCTGCTGCAGATGGTACTGGCCAATGGTTAGAGCCAGCACGCCTGAGCCCTGAATGGCAGGCCCGGGCCTCGATGGGGATGTCCCCTCTGTGAGCTGTCAGGACTCCCGGCTCCAAAGCTGGGGAGGCAGAGCGGCTCTCCCCGCAGGCCCCCCCACACCCGCCCTCCTCACCCTTCCCGTCCTCCCTGTCCATCGCAAGGATGGCAGCACTACGCCTGGAGCTCTCACTGGTGCCACGTGACTGGAGAAGGGGAGCGAGCCCTGAGCAACTCACGATCACAACACGTGCCCCCACCGGTGCGGCTCAGTGGATAGAGCGTCGGCCTGCGGACTGAAGGGTCCCAGGTCCCAGGTTCGATTCCGGTCAAGGGCACGCACCTTGGTTTCACGGGCACATCCCCAGTCAAGGGTGTGCAGGAGGCAGCTGATTGATGTTTCTCTCTCATCGACGTTTCTAACTCTCTCTCCCTCTCCCTTCCTCTTAGTAAAAAAAAAAAAAAAAAAAATCAACAAAATACATTTAAAAAGAAAAATACATTTAAAAAAAAGATTACAGCATGCACTGCCTCCGCCACTGCCCGGCCCTTCCCCGGGGGACGCCACGGCTGACATCACAGACCCCCACAGCTCTATCAGGCCAAGACGATGACACCCCTTCCCCACGGGGGCTTTGGCAAAGGAGGCGTGTGTCACACAGCGGGGAGGGGCCCTGGCCACACGGGGTCCCTACGAAACCCGTCGCAACCGCGAGGTTCCCCCGCCCAACACTGCAGAGCGCGCCCCAGGCAGCACAGGGCTCGGCGTGGGGGCTTCCGTGGGGCCCACCCACGCCCCGAGGCGCGCACAGGGCTCGGGCGCAGGGCGCAGGCCCGGCGGCCGCACTTACCCGGGGCACCGGCGAGGTCTGGCTGCCCTTGCGTGGCCCGCCGGTCTCCGGCGTGAGGTCGCGGTGGTCCAGCTGCACGTGGCTCTCCAGGTCCTCCGCGCTCTCGAACTTGACACTGCACTCGGGGCAGCGCAGGCCGGCGCAGGGCCGGTCGGCGGGCTCGGGCGGGGCGGGGCCGCCCGCCTGCCCGTTGGCGCTGCGGGCCACGCAGCCGGCGCACAGGCCGTAGGGCAGCCCGTGGACGTCCAGCTTCACCAGGTCCTGCTTGGAGCGGAAGTCCTTGAGGCACAGCGCGCACTTGTAGAGCTTGGGCAGGCCCTGGCCGTTGGGCGAGGAGGCGGCCGAGCTGCCCGCCAGCTTCTGCATGTGGAAGGTGCCGTGGATCTTGAGCTCGAGCGTGGAGGTGACGGTCTGCATGCAGACCACGCAGCGGAAGCCGGTGAGCGAGTTGCGCAGGTCGGGGTGCATCTGGCAGTGCTCGATGAACTCCTCCTCGCTCTGCAGCGGCAGCTTGCAGATGCGGCAGGTGCCCGTGTCCAGGCTCTTGCTGTGCGTGACCTTGTGCTCGGTGAGCGTGAGCAGCGAGGGGAAGCGCTCGCCGCAGATGGGGCACATGTAGTGCTTGGCGGGGCCGCGGTGCGTCTGCAGGTGCTCCCGCAGGCCGCTCTCCGAGAAGAAGGTGCGCGCGCACACGTTGCACTTGTGGCTGCCCTTGATGAACTCGGCCTTCTTGCGGGAGCCGTCGTCCTCGCCGGGCCGGATGTGGTGGTCGCGCAGCCGGTGGTTCTGCAGCAGCGTCTCCATGGTGTAGGCCGCGCCGCAGATGTCGCAGCCGTACATGGGCTCCGAGGCGTCCACGTCGTCCTCGCTGGCCTCGTGGCTGTTGGGCGCCTCGGCGTTCTTGAGCAGCAGGCCCGGCAGGTCGGCGGGCTCGGCTTTCTTGGCGGCGCCGGCGGCGGCGGCGGCCGAGGCCGCGGGGGGCACCCCGTTGGCCGTGCCGTTCTCGGCGGCGGCGTCGAACACGCAGTGCTTCTCGCGCAGGTGCTTCTCCAGCAGGATGATGGCGTGGAAGGCCTTGCTGCAGAAGCGGCAGTTGTACTTCTTGCTGTGCGTGGTGATGTGGCACTGCAGCTCCACCTCGGTGCCGAAGGCCTCGCCGCAGAAGATGCACTTGTGGGCGCGGGCCGGGTTGCCCAGGTGGCTGTGCTTGACGTGGGCCTGCAGGTCGGCCTCCTTGCGGAAGTCCCAGGCGCAGGCCGTGCAGCGGTACATCTTCTTCTCGTTGCTGTGCTTCACGGCCAGGTGCACCTGGATGGACACCTTGGAGTCGAAGACCTCCTGGCACAGCGTGCAGTGGTACAGCACGAAGGTGTGCATGTCCAGCAGGTGCTTCTGCAGGTCGTCCACCGAGGAGAACTGCTTGTCGCAGCTCTCGCACACGTAGTGCGTGGACGTGGTCATGTAGTGCACCGTCAGGTGCTGCAGCAGGGACTCCTGGGAGTCGAAGTCCTCCTTGCACTGGGGGCAGGCCTGCTTCCGCAGCAGCAGCTCCAGGTGCAGCCGCAGGTGCGTCTGGAAGCCCTCGAAGCTGGCGAACTTGAGGTCGCACTGGTTGCAGGGGTACTCGCCGTTGGAGAGGGCGTCGCCGCCGCCGCCGAGCGCCAGACGCTGCCGCTTGGGCGAGGACACCTCCACGTCGGAGGACGCGGGGCTCTGCTCGGCCTTGGACTTCTTGCCGTGGGCCAGCGGGATGTTCTTGTGGTTCTCCTTGATGTGCTTGGTGAGCTTCAGGATGGAGCCGAAGATGGGCGAGTTGGTGCAGTAGGGGCAGGAGTAGACCTCCATGAAGGACTGGGCGGGCCGCGCCACGGGCGACTCCAGCTTGGCGCCGCCCGCACCGCAGTGGGCCTGCTGGATGTGCTCGGCGAGCGAGGCCTCGGTCAGGAAGCCCAGGGAGCACTGGCTGCAGAAGAAGGCGTTGGCGCCCTCGGGAGCGGCGGCGGCCGCGGCGGCCGCGCCGGGCCCGCCGTGCGACAGGCGGATGTGCTCCTGCAGGCTGTTGAGGTCGGCCAGCATCTCGGGGCAGTAGTTGCAGTGGAAGGCGGCCAGGCCGGCGAAGGGCAGCGCGGGCGAGGCGTGGCCCTTGTGCAGCTTGAGCACGTGCTCGCTGAGCGTGTAGAGCGTGGGCACGGTGTCCAGGCACACCTGGCAGGTGTGGCTCTGCTGCGGCTTGTCGGCGTGCGCGGTCTTCAGGTGGATCTCCAGCACGGCCAGGCCGGGGAAGTCCCGCTTGGCGCAGTAGGGGCAGCTGTAGGCCACCTTGGGCCAGCCGGGCCCGTCCTCCCGCGGTGGCTTCTTGGCGCCCCGCAGCGGCTTCAGGGCGGAGTCCGGGGTGGAGCCGCGCTCGGCCGAGGCGCTGGAGTCGGGCGTGGCGCTGCTCATGGAGGCGGCGCTGCCCAGCACGGGGTCCGGGCTGGCGCTGTGGGTGCTGGAGTCGGGCTGCCGGTGGCTGTCCAGGTGGCAGTAGACGCCCTCCACGGAGGAGAACTGCTCGGGGCACATGGGGCACTTGTGCTCCTGGCGGGCGTGGGCCTGGTGGATGTGGGCCAGCAGCGCGGCCTCGTCCCCGAAGGCGTCGGGGCAGTGGATGCACTGCAGGTCGGCCTTCTCCGAGAGCTGCGGGTGCCGCGCCAGCAGGTGCCGCTCCAGCGCCTCCGACTGGCCGAACGAGTCCTCGCAGTAGTCGCACAGGAAGTCGTCCTTGCCGCCGCGGGCCTCCTTCTCGCCCCCGCCGCCCCCGCCCTTGGCCAGGTGCTCCTTGTTGCGCTTGTGCGCCTGCATGTGGCTCTGCAGCGAGCTGGTGGAGGAGAAGCCGCGCTTGCACACGGGGCACTTGAAGGGCTTGCTGGAGCTGTGCGTCTTGAGGTGGATCTTGAGGTGGTCGCTGCGGGAGAAGGCGGCCTCGCACTCGTGGCAGTGGTACTTCTTGTCGCCCGTGTGCAGCTTCACGTGGCGGTCGCGGCTGCGCTTGTGCTTGAAGAGGCGGCTGCAGAAGGTGCACTTGAAGGGCAGCTTGTCGCTGTGGATCTGCTCGTGCCGCTTCAGGTAGCTCAGGCGGATGAAGGACTTGTCGCAGAACTGGCACGGGTACGGCAGCCCCGTGCCCCCCTCCTCCTCGCCCAGGCCCAGCTCGCAGCCATCCCCGATCATCTGCGTGGGGGACGCCACATCCTTGCTGGAGGGCGACGAGGCCACCCAGGAGAGCTGCGGGTCGTCGTCAGCATCTGGGGGGGCGGGGGAGGGGGAGAGCGGATTAGAGGCGATTCCCAGGGCGGCCGCCGCGAGACAAGGATGGGGCGGAGGCTTGCAGCTGGCGGCCGGGGGTGGGGGGGTGTTAAAGGGAGGGGAGGAGGGTGGGAAGGCCGGGGCCACGAGGACCCTCCAGTCTGCAGAGGGTGTGGCAGGGGGGCAGCGGCGGAAGGAAATGGAGGACATCTGGCCGGGCCTCAATGGACAAGGTGTCCCCGTGGGAAGGGGGACGCTGGGCCCCTTCCCTGAGGGGGTGCAGAGGCCGCTGGGGCAGGGCCACCGGACACGAGACAAGTTCCCACGCCGGATGGAGACCTGGGGTCCCTCCCCGCCCACGCCCTGCCCGGGCGGGAAGCCCTCTTGCGGGTGCCGGGGGCGTGGGCACCGCTTCTCAGGGAAGCACGGGCACGCTCACAAACGGGGCTGCGCCACGTGGTTGGGGATGGGGGGACCTGGGAAAGCCGGACGGCTCCCCCCGGGGGCGGCGGGAAGCCACAGCACGTGGCGGAGGCCACAGAGAAGGGTCTGTGTTTCCGGCCCAAACCACGCAGAGGGGCCATTTCCTTCGCTTCCCTCGACCCACGCCCACCTAAGCAGGGAGGTGGGTGCCTGATCGTGACCGGGTGGAGGAGCGGCCGCGGAGCTCAGAGCCTGTGGGCCCCTCCCTCCACTGGGGGCGGGGCTCTCCTCACACAGACGCCCCGTGGGGCCCCCTCCGGGGCCGGAGCCACCCCCCTCCCCGGCCGTGCTGGCCCACCAGCCTCCGGGGAGAGGAACACACAGGGACGGCCGTTCCCGGGAAAACAAAGGTGCCGGGACCAGCACCTGGAGCCGGGAGGGTGCCGAGCGGCCAGCCGGGGCGGGCAGGAGGGCGTGCCAGGCCGAGGGCGCCGGCGGACGGAAAACTCAGTAGCCAGAGGAAAGGACCGCAGCCCGCTTCGCGTGGGGGAGAGGCAGGCGAGGCTCGGACTCGGCCGCACTGGCCTTGCTCTGTGACCCGGACGTGGAGCCCGGCCCGGCCCGCCCGTCCGGCTCAGCCTCGGACGCAGCCACAGGGTCTGCGCTGCAGGGGGCAGGGGCCCCATCCCGGCCCAGGCAGACACAGCATGCACACGCACCCAGCTCTCGCAGCACCCCACAGCGCACACAGACTGACACCCAAACACACACTCCCCTCCACACAGCCACACCTGCCTTCCCACGTCACGTACGATCACATGCTCTCCCACACGTGCACATCCACTCATGCACTGTCGCTCGCACACAACAGGCACGCACACGCACTCACATCCAGCCATGCCCACCCTCACACTCACGTCACATGCGGTCACACACTAACCCCACACATGCACATCCGCTCATGCACTATGGCTCGCACAAACACGCATGCACACGCACTCACATACTCACAGCTGCCGCCATGGCACTCATACTCACAGGGACACGGGCCCCCCTCGGCTCCCTGTGCCGTCCCAGGCCGACCCCGACCTCGAGAGATGGCAGGGTCCCTCGGCTGCCTCTGAGCCTGCTGTTGGCCGCCCCCCACCCCGGTGCCCTCCGCCCCGACCGTGTGCGGGCTGCCCGATGCCAGCGGGCACGGCTGCCAGAGCTCCCGCATCCGCGGCAGCCGCCCGCCTCTGGAGCCCAGCGCCCGCCTGGCGCGGCACCGCCCCCAGCGCCCTCCCAGCGCGAACACCGGCCCCCGGGGGCTCTCAGGTTACGGGCGCTCCGGACGGCGGGGGCGAGGACGCCGGCACCTCGGATCAGAGTCACCGCCCTCCCGGTGACGCCCCCCGCACGCCGGCTCCGGGCGCAGACAAAGGGGCCACGGAGAAGGGGCTGGAGCGGGGCCGTGGGGACCTGCAGGGCCCCGCCCAGGGGCCCACCGTGACTGTTCCCACGTCTGAGCTCAGGCTCACGCAGGCTGCCACGGAGCGTGTCCTGCGGGCCCAGCGACCACCAACGTGGGGACCAGGCCCCTCCCGCTGCACCGACGAGGAGCCCGGGCCTCAGTTTCCCCAGGAGATGGCCGCACCGGACGGGCCACAGGCAGCCCCTGACCAGACGCGGGTCTGAGCGAGCTCCCCCGGGAGGCGGAGAAGAGCCGCCGGCGCAGGTGAGGCGGGGGGGGGGGGGGAGGGCCACGCCTCTGCCTCAGCGCAGGCCGGTCCGGCCCCCGGGGCCTCTGGGGCGGGAGGACGGGGCCTGCCCGCCGCCCGCGTTCCGGGGAGGGACCCCCCCCCCCAAGGCCGGCAAGGCCCAGGGCGGTCACCTGCTCCCGAACCTCGTGCCGCCCACCGAGACCCCGTGTGTGTCCGTCCGCCCGGGCGCACCTGCCTGACCCCCGAGACTGAGGACGGAGAGCCGCGTGGGAGCGGACGGAGAGGGACCGGGGAGGCGCCGTTCTCCGTTACCGACCGGCCCGAGGGGGCGCAGGGCTCGAGGAGTCTGTGTGCGTGTGTGTGCACATGTGTGTGCGTGCGTGTGTGCGTGTGTGCGTGCGTTTGTGTGTATGTGTATGTGTGTGTGCGCGTGTGCGCACGCGTGTGTGCATTTGTGCTCGCGTGTGCGTGCGCGTGTGCGCACGCGTGTGTGCGTTTGTGCTCGCGTGTGCGTGCGCGTGTGCGCGCGCGTGTGCATGTGTGCGCGTTTGTGTGTGCGTGTGCATGTGTGCTCGTGTGTGCATGTGCGTGCGTGTGCGCGTGTGTGCGCGTTTGTGTGTGTGTGCGTGTATGTGCGCGTGTGTGCGTGTATGTGTGTGTGTGGGTGCGTGTGGGTGTGTGTGCGCGCGGAAGCTCCATGTTTAAGTTTGTGAGGAAACTCCACAGCGTTCTCCGTAGTTGCCTGCACCCGTCTGCAGTCCCACCAGCCATGAACCGGTGCTCCCTCTTCTCCACATCCTCGCCAGCCCTTGTTGTTTGTTAGACGGAGGGACCTGCCTCAGTTTCCTCACCTGTGAATGGGGAATAAGGACAGGCCCACCTCTGCTGTGCGCGCGTGTGTGTATGTGCGCGCGTGTGCGTGTGTGTGCGCGCGCATGTGTGTGCGTGTGTGTGTGCGTGTCAATCCTCACCCGAGGATATCTTCCCATTGATGCTTAGGGAGAGGGGGAGAGAGAGGGAAAGACGGGGAGAAACATCGACGCGAGAGAAACACCCCGATGGGTTGGGGCCCGAACCAGGGAGGAGCCCCAAGTGCGTGTCCTTGACCAGAATCGAACCCGGGACCCTTCCCTCCACAGGCCGACGCTCTATCCACTGAGCCAAACCGGCTAGGGCAGAGTTTTGAGGGTTTTGGGATGTATTCCCAGAAGCGGGATCGCGGGGTCAAACGGAAGCTCCATGTTTAAGTTTGTGAGGAAACTCCACAGCGTTCTCCGTAGTTGCCTGCACCCGTCTGCAGTCCCACCAGCCACGAACCGGCGCTCCCTCTTCTCCACATCCTCGCCAGCCCTTGTTGTTTGTTAGACGGAGGGACCTGCCTCGGTTTCCTCACCTGTGAATGGGGGATAAGGACAGGCCCACCTCTGCTGTTGCTGAGCAGCTGACATAAGTGGATGTTTATAAAGCGTTCTATGAGAGGATCTTCCATTAAGACCAAGAGTTACCCTGCAGAAGAGTTTTCATTTACTTTTTAAAAGATATTTCTACTAGAGGCCCGGTGCATGAAATCCATGCATGGGAGGGGTCCCTCAGCCCGGTCTGACTTTCGGGGGATGTCTGACTGCCGGTTTAGGCCTGATCCTGCAGGGATCTCTGCAGATCGGGCCTAAACTGTCAGTGAGACATCCCTCTTGCAATCCAGGTCTGCTGGCTCCTAACTGCTCGCCCCTAACCGCTCCCTGGGGGACAGGGCCAAACTAGGCAAGGGGCCATGGTGTTCTGGTCTCTGGTCATTCTGATTGTTCTACCGTTTCTGTTACTGGGCTTTTATTATATAGGATTGATCTCTGACGGGAAAGGGGAGGGAGAGAGAGAGATAGAAACATCAGTGACGAGAGAGAATCATGGACCGGCTGCCTCCTGCACACCCCACACTGCGGATGGAGTCTGCAACCCGGCCCTGTGCCCTGACCGGGAATCGAACCTGACCTCCTGGTTCAAGGTTGACGCTCAACCACTGAGCCACACCAGCCGTGCCAGAAGGTGATTTTCAAAGCCAAGGCTGCTGGCCCTGCACCATGGCCCCAGGGCCCCTGCACTTGCCACCCCCGGGTGTCAGAGAGGAACGGAACTGCCCTGGGCTCCCAGCCCACCCCTCTCACTGTGCAGATGGAGAAACTGAGGCACCAGCGCCTCACAAGGGCTTGGACCTGGGTCTCCAGGCTCCTGGCAGAGTGGGTAGGAGACCCTCCGACGCCACGCGCCATTTCCCAGAAGCCTCTGGCCTCCCGGAGCGCACAGCCCGCCGGCCGCTCCTTCCCTACAGACCTCCTCAGCACGGCTTTGAGAACGCCATTGACCTTGGATTTTTAATATATATATTATTGTTTTCTCACAGAGAGGAAGGGAGAGAGAGAGTTAGAAACATCAATGAAAGAGAAACATCAATTCAGCTGCCTCCTACACACTCCCCACTGGGGATGTGCCTGCAGCCAAGGTACATGCCCTTGCTAGAATTGAACCCGGGACCTTTCAGTCCGCAGGCCGATGAGCTATCCACTGAGCCACACCGGTTTCAGCTGAGCTTGGCTTTTATTGCAGACATTAAACAGACGAGGGGAAAATAAAGCCCCCCCCAATCTGCCCCGCTGAGACTCCCCAAAGATGGGGTGCTTGTAGCCATCGGAGGGCCTCCAAAGGGCCCCCCATCGGCCCCTGGCCGGGCCTTCCTCGCACCCCAACATCGCCCTGCCTGCCGCCGCTTCCCAGCTCCTCGAGGGAGGAGGGAGCCGCCCCTGAGGTCATCCCGGAGCCTTCTGGAAGCAGCCCCGCCAAGGCCCGCCGGAGGGCCCGGCGCCCGGAGAGAGAGCCAC